GAGAGTGTGTGTGAGTGAGTGTGAGTGAGAGAGTGTGAGTGTGTGAGAGTGTGAGTGTGAGTGTGTGAGTGAGTGAGTGAGTGAGTGTGAGTGTGAGAGTGTGTGTAAGTTTAAGACTCACACTCTGCTGCTGATCAGACTGAGTGACAGGATCACACACACCCTACCAGGAGACTTCAGTGTGTGTGTGTGTGTGTGTGTGTGCGTGTGTGTGTAAATGATGACAGGGATTAGATTAGAACAGAAATACATATTAAAAGAGGAAATGCGAAGCATCAATTCGGATGCCAGAATCGCCATGTTTTTTCTGCGTTTGAGAAAGTAAGAGACATGCAGACACAGACTTAGCCTTATGTTGTCAAAACTGCCTTCTGTAACAGTGATTTGCATAATCCCCCAGAGGTTGCTGGGAGATATTCAAATTAGCTTATCAAATATGTTTAAGCATCGTAAGTCGAGCGCAACATGTGTTTGCTTTGGTTCCTCTCTCATCTCTCGTTCTGCGGTCATTTGATGCTCGTGATGTTTTTTAATGTTTGTCTGACACACACCTGCATTTATAACACACGATTAAAATCAAATCTGTTCTCTCTGTAGATGATGATGATGATGATGAAGTTTCATATCAACATTTATTTTCGAATAGAGAAGAATTGTTATTTAACAGTGCATTTGCTACATGTTACATTCTTACTATAGTAATTACAGTAAGTTATGAACAATTACAAGCAGCTAGCTGTAATCCTAACCCTATAGTAAATACATGTTGTTAATATTTCTTATAGTAGGAATATTTAATATTTCTAATATTAGTACTTAATTATATAATTTTATTGTAACTAGGACTCTTTAAAATAAAGTGTAACTGAATTATTTATTTATTTTTATAACTGATTTTTAATTAGTTTTTGCTTGTTTTTTTAATAAATGACCTTTTTGAGAGTTTTAGTCTTCACAGCACTGCAGTCTCTTAAAACTATGTATGAATAAATTGGAACATTGATTGAAAATACAAAAAATAATTTTCTCTGTAATTTGTTTGCATCGTTTTGCGCTTTTTTTTTTTGTTTATCACAATTACCTTTTTTACCTTCCTGCTGAACACTTTATTTATAATGATGATATTTTTGGATGATTTCAGGTGTTTTTCTCTGTGAATAGATGTATGCTGTACACATTTGAGCAAAACGTGATAACTGTACGGACACTGACAGAATGTATGAACACATAATATATATGAACACATCAGACGTGGTGCTTTGCTCCTCTGCTCTTCTCATGAGTGTCATATTCAGCGTTCACACTTTTGAGTGAAAACCACAACTTTTTTATTTATTTGTGAAGTCACACTTGTTAGTCGCTGTAACACTTGTGTGATGGCCGAGAGACAGAGAGACAGACACAGAGAGAGAGACAGACAGACAGACAGAGAGAGAGAGAGACAGACAGACAGAGAGAGAGAGAGAGAGAGAGCGCGAGAGAGAGAGA